GGGGATGGAGAGGAAGGGATAGAATGGTAGAGGGAGAGGAAAAGGTTAAGAGAGAGAGAGAGATCGAAGGATGGTGAAAAGGGGAGGGGGGAGGGAGAGAGCGAAGGGAGGGAGGGAGGTCTGAAGGAGAGCAAACTTGAGAAGGGGAGAGAAAAAGAAAGAAAAAAGAAATAAATAAAGAGAGAGATTGAGAGAGGGGGGGGGAGACTGTTAGGAAACCATTAATATAATAATAACGAAACCCATAAAAATAAAAATGATGACGTCTATGTCAATAACACTGAAGAAAAATCCAGTTTATAGTACCATCTGCATCAATACTATTCCCATCATCACTAATAAAATGAATATTGTCTTCACAATCATTATCACCACAGTCTTACACATCATACCTACTGGAATCGTCGTTAATAATGTAAGCATTACTACCATCATCATTTTTAAAACAGGAAAACATTGCAAATAGCAGTGCAATGTATTCAAAGAGAAATCAAGAACAAATCTAACGAACTTCCTCTCTCGCTAAATACTCAACATAATACATCATTAAGTAATATCGCTACAAGACCACCGTTTTTCCCTGGCGAGACAAAAGCTGGTTGAAAAGCGGCAGATTTGAGGCTGTAATTGAATTCCCTGCAAGACACAAGAGCCGGTGAACTATCCAAATCCCATCACTAACAGACAGTGGTGAGCTGTGATTCCCGCTGAAAAAATGCTCCATCCATCGCCATCATCTTCAACACCGTCGCGGAAATCACACCACCTCGAACACCATGACTACGAGTTCTCATCACCACCACGAGCACCATGACTACGACTTATCACCACCATCTACGACTTATCACCACCACCCTTGATGCCTATAAAAAATACATATTTACCTCGAAAGAGCCTCAAGATCCTCACCATTATTAACTACCCCCTCCCCCTAACAAATGTTAGTTCCACATGAATAAAAAAGTATATATTTTACTTTATAAAGGAATCCAAACCGAATTTTCATCATCATTTCCACATGGGAAAAGCGAGGGAAGAAAAAGAAAGAAGAAAAAAAAATTGGGAATCCACCTCAGCCTCTCACCACTATCCATCACCACATAAACACCCCCCCCTCCCCCTAATACCCGCTCTCATCACCTACCCCTTCCCATTCCTCCCCTCCCTCCTCAACCCCTTTCCCTCCTTCCTCCCTCCACAACCCTTTCCCCTTTCTCTCCCCTCCCCTTTTCCCCCTTCCCTCTCCCCTCCCCCTTTTCCCCCTTCCCCTTCCCTCCCCCCCCACCCCCTCGAGGGTCCTCATCAGGCACCCCAGGCAGTAATCAGCTAACCCATACGTATGTTATCAAGACATCAAAGCCACGGAGGGTGGATAAATGAGGCCGTCGGAGGATATACTTTTCGTGATTAAAAGCTCGGTCCGTCAAGGCTATCTAACTCTTCATTACCACCTGATTTGTTCCTTACCGAGGGATGAGAAGTGGGGGGGAAGGGGGGAAGTGGGGAGGGGGGGGAATGGGAGAAGGTGGGGAGGAGAGGGAGGGAAAAGGGGAGGAGAGAAGGGAGAAGAGGGGGAGGGGGAGAGGGAGAGGGGAGGAGGGAGAGGGAGAGAGGGAGAGAGGAGAGAGGAGAGAGGAGAGAGAGAGAGAGAGAGAGAGAGAGAGAGAGAGAGAGAGAGAGAGAGAGAGAGAGAGAGAGAGAGAGAGAGAGAGAGAGAGAGAGAGAGAGC